GGCTGGCACAGGTCAAGGCTCGGTCAGACAGTTGGTTTGGAGATCTGTGTTGGGTGAGGAGAGAGTCAGAGGAAGATCGGAGACTTCGCTGAGGTACATACACGGAGACGAGATGTTTGAGATAGTCAGGAAAGTTATCGTTTTTTAGAGGCAGTTATGAGTCAGAATGAGGATTTTGAAGGTACTTCTGGCAGAGATAGGGAGCCAGTGTAGAGACTGTAGTACTGGAATGATATGGTCATGACAATGAGTGTGGGTGATACATCTGGCAGCAGAATTTTGGATTCTTTGTAGTTTCTGGAGTGGTTTGAGTGGAGTGGAGTGATATCCACTGTCATGAGGAAACTGGGCTGGGTTTACCCATTTATTGCAATACGCACATTCACCATCAGCGCCTTCAACCTTTGGATTTAATACGCTTTCAGAACATGTTCGTGTTCATTTATATAATCACTGTGATGCTTATGAGAACTGAATAGTTAAAACACCAAAAGGAGCTGTTAGCTGTGGGCTGTGTCCATCAGGGCAAGCCATACTTTTAATCCCTGATTTCCGATGGAGGACACCTTGACCACTCGGCTACATTACTGCATTAGTGCAGAGATTGTAGATTAACTTTCAACAAGGGGAATCAGATTAACTGTTCTCAACAGCTGCTGTAAACCAGCTGGGGATGTAATTAGATAACACCCACTAACCTGTTGTCCACGGGAGAAAGTGTTTAGCAGCCACTACCACCAGACCAACCACCAATTACCCGTGTTCCTGGAATGTGTAAACCTGGCATGGCGTTGTCTCTTCACTGGTTGGAGCTTTGTGGCCTCCTCGACCACTGATTTCTCGGGCTGCACAACATAACCGGTTTACCGGTATTTACCAGTTCAGAAAATGAAGAAAACGTATTGCGATACGCTGATCGAAAACCGGTATTTCGACATGCATTCGGAAAACTTCGATAAACACGGAAATCTTCGGATATTTCCGTTTTTCAAACGGGAAGTCAAGTAAAGTTGTGTTCTTAATTTTTGTTCAAATGTTTCGCGATGTTTTGGATCTGAATGTATTAAATATTTACTCATTAATGACCAGTGATCTCTGATATGTCCTGACCAGGTCAAGTTGCTGTCTAAAATATCAGGGCTTTTTTAGAGAGTGGAGAAACTCGTTCAAACGAGTAACCACAGTATTGATGTTAAATTGTTCTTTTCCTTGTTTCATTTGTGCCAAATATTTATTTACACTTTTATTTTGTCATGATTAAAAGTTTATATTAAAGATTAATCAAGCATAGTGATTTTGTAGCGTTTTTATTTTAGAAATCAAGCACTAACTACTTTTGTTGTTTAAAAAAACTTACTGCAATATATTGCCATACATATCGTAATATATGCTTTCGCATCGCAATATGAAAATTCTCTGAAATAGCCACCCCTACTGATTTCTGTGTCCAATCAAGAAGCGAGCTGAGATTGACCAAGTATCGGTGTGGTAAGTCAGAACCGGGCATTGCTGGTGGAGGGTATACAGTATGCTCAATGCCTGTAGGTGAGATAGGTGGAATATTACTAAAAGCCGCATTTCACTAAACTCACTCACTCACTCTACGGAAGAAAGAAGACTTGTAAACGTTCTTTTGTCCGAAGGGAAAAAGCAGCCCCCAATATGTAGCGAAGTGGTGTCCCGCTTTGTTGTACCTATGTCTAATGGTTATAGGGGAGGTGGGGTAGCCCAGTGGTAAAAGCGGTCGCTCGTCACGCCGAAGGCCCGGGTTCGATTCCCCACATGGGTCAGCATTTCACAACTAAGTCCGGTCTCTATATTGATAAAATGAAAGCTTTTAAACTTGCGCAGTAGTCTGATTTCAGTCGTGATCGCTGTGACTGTAATGCCCGCACAGGCAATGGAAATAATCCCACAGAGGACAGAGATGATGTTGGACATGGTGATTTACACACCGATGTACACAATGTCCCGGTTGAAGAGCGTATGTCTCCCGATGATACTATCAATGGATTCGTTTGTTGTTTCTAATCCTGTGTTCTTTGATTGATGACACTAAATGGGAGTGTACCATGACAGAAAACGCTAGCTCATGTTTGTAGGAGATAATGTACTGGCGTTGTGGAATATTTCATTTCATCTGTTCATTTCACCAGCATGAAATGTGGTTACTTGTGGTGATCGATTAGGGCAGCAATTTGTATAGTGTTTTTTTCACGTAGCCACCATGATCTTATGTTGGTCGGTGGGTTTGAAATATAAAAAATACGAATGCAAAAATCTTGACATAAAAAATCCAAACATTTCTCAGCAGATAACAACAAAGAATGGCAGCAGAGAACATCATATTAGATTGAATCTGATGTTTCTGTCACAAAGATAGCCACATCATCCTTAAAATAGTTCGTTACTCTTAATATATTATGACGATGTATTAATAGATGAAATGTAAAGAAAGAAGAAGAATAATACCTACCACTTAGCCTTCTTGTTAATTTTCACTAGTACTCGACCTTCACCCTTCATCTCAGCACTGACACAGGAACGAACCAATTCAGTGAGCATTCGCTAGGTCCAAGTTCGAGTCGGCGGAAATAGAATAACAAACTTCATAGTTTTGGTTTGGTGGCCAAATTACAGTCGGTGGAGCAATGGGAAACCCAGAAATAGAAATGTTATCCTTAGATCCAAACCATTTCCTTCTGATGTTATTTTGCACCTTTCTGTCATCAATCTTCTCATCCATTGTATAAAGCATGAGGATTATACCTGAAACAGTAGCAGATGTCGATTGAAAAAAATCGAAGGAGCTTTTGCGTTTCATTACAACAATGAGATGTTGTTTTCGTAATGTAATATTTGAGGAATATATTTTTTTTAGCTTCTATGGCAACAACTTTGACTTAGGCTGGAAATGAAGACTGTGCTTGTTTTTGGTGCCATAGAACATTTCTTCACCACATTCGGTTAAACGGAGGTCTACACATTCAACATATGGTGTAGATGTGCTATTTACTTAAACTATAAAAGATGATCATTCATAAGAGATGTCTTTGAAGTTCTACAGATTTCGAGGATCACACGTTGTTCCTTAAACTCTGGACATTAAATTAGCTGTAAAGGTTAGGAGATTAGTGAGTGAGTTTAGTTTTACGCCGCTTTTAGCAATATCAAGGTCGGGAACACCAGAAATAGGCTTCACACATTGTACCCATGTGGGAATTGTGAATCGTCTTTAGCGTGACGAGCGGACGCTTTACCCTACTGCCCATGATTAGGGGAGTAACAACATCTGCATGCATAACGATGTTACATAGTTCATGATATTCAAATGAACGCAAGTTAAAATAATGTATCTCACGATATTCTCGACAAGTTTAGGCAATGGCTGGGGAATATACATGTCGTCTTGATTTGTGTGTGTGTGTGTGTGGTATGTACGAACTTATAAAATGGTTTTCATTCCCGTAAGAAACCAACGAACACCTTGCATTTTTCATACGAAATGAATTGCTATATTGATTTGACCCTCATAAAGAGTGGTAAGTAGCTCAGTTGTATAGTGACCTTTGACCATTGACCCTCATAAAGAGTGGTATGTACCTCAGTAGTATATTGACCTTTGACCATTGACCCTCATAAAGAGTGGTAAGTAGCTCAGTAGTATATTGACTTTTGACCATTTCGACAATGAAGAAGTAGGTTGATTATACGTGACGTCACTGGTTTGTGTGCACATATACTTGCTTTGAGCACGCGCTGCAATGTTACTCATTAAACTTCTTTGTGATGTGTGTAGTCGTTGAGAAGCACTTGCTCTAAGCAATATATCGTCCTGGTCAGACAACACACATTTGTGAGACAGATGTCTACTATATCACGTACATGAGTTGAAGGTCATCCTGATCATAGATCACCCTCCAGGCTCACAGGACTCCGCTGCCCATAAGGTTGTCAGAGCAAGCGGCAACATGCCCAATGCATGTTGGAGTTAGACCAAAACATGCCTCGTAATGTACTTGAGAAAAAACATGTTTTTTTGTGTGATGTTTGAAAACTAAGCTATGGATTATCACTGGGTGTCAGTATTTGTATCATCGTTTTCCTAAGAGGGGGTAGTTGAAGGTCTTCCTTATCGTGGATCCCCCTCCAGGCTCTCTTACCCTTTTGAACCCTGGAAGCAGCACCATGCCAAATATCCTCAAGGACGCTTGTTGGAATTATGTCTCATGATAGACTTGAGAACAAGTGGGGGCGGTTGAAGGTCGTCCTTAGTTTGGATCGCCCACTTACCCCTTTGAAGTCCGTTACCTGCCTCTAAACATTAGCAGAACGTGAAACATCTTCCCTTTAACGTTGACGTGTAGAATATTTCAGTGTGCGAAACTTGGTGACAGTGCGGAAGCTAATTTTGTCCATCTTCGCCAGTGGGGATTACCGAGTCTGATGCCTGAAATGTGATGTCTGGTTATGCACGCTGTTCCAATAAGGCCTTTAATTTTGATTTTGTTAGCTTGTTGTTTAACGCCGCACTCAGCAATATTCCAGCTATATGATGACGGTCTGTAAATAATCGAGTCTGGACCAGACAATCCAGTGATCAACAGCATAAGCATCGATCTACACAATGTGTCAACCAAGTCAGCAAGCCTGACCACCCGATCCCGTTAGTCGCCTCTTACGACAAGCATTGATTGATGAAGATCAATTCTAACCTAGGTCTTCACGGCTTAACATGGGAAGGTTCGTTCACAGCGCACGCAAATGTTTAGGGTTGTACTATGTAACCTAAGTTGGCACCGAACCGTCAGCCTGGCCTTGTTCTATTTATTGCTGTTTGAGTTATGCAAAGAATGATAGAACACAACAGACAACATAAACACGTAATGTAATTGGTGATGGATTTGGAAACACATCATTCTGTCACAGCAAACACTTAAACCCATGTAAATCAATATTGACTATTTCAATGTGTTAACACTTCACTTAACTTTGCGGAAGAGGTTGTGTTGAATCAGCCTGTTTTATCTACACATCACATCATTAACTCTGTAATGTCCGTGACGTTACCACTCTTGTTGAACGCGGCTCATCTTAAGTTCTTTGTCTCCAAGTCGCATTGCTCACTTCTTCTAGAGAACCGAACACGTCCATGCGAAGCATGCATGGCAACAGAGGGTGGCATCCCTAAGCAGTTATGTGGTAATGAAGAACGCCTAGCTACATAAAAGCACCGTGCTGTAGAGGCATGTAACTGGCACTGTAAGGAAACAGTTTGCACATAACGGAATTGCTACAAGCTTGGTAATGCGGCGCGGCGCGTTGGGTGGAAGTGAGATGTTGTAGATCAATGACCACGGAGGACTACACGTGGTGAGGGAGAAGGGACGTAGGGTAACTATCAGTTGGGGAGACTAACTCCGACATCATATTGAGTGGCCAACTGATACTGATACAGGACGTCTCGGTGTTCGGAAACTGTCATCACTAGAAGAGGTAAGTAATGGGAATTTGTTCTGGCATTTCACGTTTAACTACATGGGAGTTCGTGTAACGCAGTCATTTTAACAGTCCATTCATTTGTGTCAATATTGTGTCAATAACTGTTTGAGAGGCATTCTAGAAATTGTGAGCAATAGGAATAACATGTCTTTATGGATGATCAACATTAGGAATGACAAGTCTTATGGATGATCAACATTAGGACTAACATGTCTTTATGGATGATCAACATTAGGAATGACAAGTCTTATGGATGATCAACATTAGGAATGACAAGTCTTTATGGAACATCCATAAACACTTGTCATTCCTGATGTCGTGATGACTGATTTGGTTGCATGATGTAACGAAACGAGTGGAATAACGAGGGATCGGGAAACTAATATAAAGAGTCTGAATCGAGTTTCGTGAAACCAGTATGATGAAAACAAATGTGATAACCTGTTTATAATATATGTACAAATTACAAAACGATCCCGTCAGATAACCGATATATTATTATAAGTGTAGTTTTCCACACTAATAATTATAAAAAGTATATCTAACGGGATTGAGCGTATATATATATATATATATATATATATATATATATATATATATATATATACTAGTATATATATATATATATATATATATATATATAAATTTATTACCTACCTAACCGTTACGTTATTTCATCATAATCTTACAAATTAAAAGAGCCGTCACTGCATAAGGTCAAGGTTGACGTATGAATACAGCATTCGTTGAATACAGCGACTCGTCGTGAAAATATTCTCTCCGATAACATCCTTAAATCTATCTGCAATCTATTGTGAAAAAACGTGAGATGAATTTTAAAAAGCATGATCGCATTAACCTAACCACAAACTTCTCAGTGTCAGAAATATTTCCACGACAATATCACACATGGCACTGCGTTAGTGTGCTCGATAGACGATCGACTCATGGAGTCATCATACGGTTTATATGTTATAATATTAATGTAATTGATTGTTGTCAAACAACACTAATTACGGAGCAATCACCTTCGTGAAGATTGCACAGATGGACACAATGTTGACGACATGCCTAATGACTGTCATTTGGTTCAAGAGTGACGACTGTCATTTGTCCAAGAGTGACGACTGTCATTTGTCCAAGGGTGGCGACTGTTATTTGTCCAAGTGTGGCGACTGTCATTTGTCCAAGAGTGACGACTACCATTTGTCCAAGGGCGGCGACTGTTATTTGTCCAAGTGTGGCGACTGTCATTTGTCCAAGAGTGACGACTATCATTTGTCCAAGTGTGGCGACTGTCATTTGTCCAAGGGCGGCGACGGTCATTGTCCAAGAGTGACGACTATCTTTTGTCCAAGGGTGGCGACTGTTATTTGTCCAAGTGTGGCGACTGTCATTTGTCCAAGAGTGACGACTGTCATTTGTCCAAGGGTGGCGACTGTTATTTGGTTCAAGAGCGGCGACTGTCATTTGTCCAAGAGTGACGACTGTCATTTGTCCAAATGTGGAGACTGTCATTTTTCCAAGAGTGACGACTGTCATTTGTCCAAATGTGGCAACTGTCATTTGTCCAAGTGTGGCGACTGTCATTTGTCCAAGGGTGGCGACTGTCATTTGGTTCAAGAGCGACGGGTATTTTTGGTCCAAGGGTTGCGCCTGTCATTTGGTCCAAGAGTGGCGACTGTCAGTTGGTGGAAGAGCGGCCGCTGTCATTTGCTCCAAGAGTGGCGACTGTAATTTTCTCCAAGAGTGGCGACTGTCATTTGGTTCAAGAGTGGCGACCGTCATTTGGTCCAAGAGCGGCGACTGTCATTTTCTCCAAGAGCGGCGACTGTCATTTGGTTCAAGAGTGTTGACTGTCATCTGGTCCTAGAGTGTTCCGAGTGTGTCGATGCATCTCTGTTATTGACTTCAGTAGGGTTTATAGGCAGTGTAATGTACATAGTTCGTTTGTAAACAGGGCAGACGTTATGTGGCGACTGTCAGTTGGTCCAAGAGCGGCGACTGTCAGTTGGTGCAAAAGCTGCGACTGTCATTTGGTCCAAGAGCGGCGACTGTCAGTTGGTGCAAAATCGGCCGCTGTCATTTTCCCCCAAGAGCGGCGACTGTTATTTTCTCCAAGAGTGGCGACTGTCATTTGGTTCAAGAGTGTTGACTGTCATTTGGTTCAAGAGTGACAACTGTCATTTGTCCAAGAGAGGCGACTGTCATTTGTCCAGGAGCGGCGACTGTCAGTTGGTCCAAGAGCGTTGACTGTCATTTGGTTCAAGAGCGACGGGTATTTTTGGCCCAAGGGTTGCGCCTGTCATTTGGTCCAAGAGCGGCGACTGTCAGTTGGTCCACGAGCGGCGAATGTCCAAGAGTGTTCCGAGTGTGTCGGTGGATCTGTGTTATTGACTTTAGTAGGGTTTATAGGCAGTGCAATGTACATAGTTCGTTTGTAAACAGGGCAGACGTTATGTGGCGACTGTCAGTTGGTCCAAGAGTGGCGACTGTCAGTTGGTGCAAAAGCTGCGACTGTCATTTGGTCCAAGAGTGGCGACTGTCATTTGGTTCAAGAGTGGCGACCGTCATTTGGTCCAAGAGAGGCGACTACCATTTTCTCCAACAGCGGCGACTGCCATTTTCTCCAAGAGTGGCGACTGTCATTTTCTCCAAGGGTGGTGACTGTCATTTAGTACAAGAGCGGCGACTGTCATTTGCATTAGTTATTAGTAGACAATGACGATTACTGATGTTATGGTGATTGCTGCTATCCATTATTGATGTTCACGACCTATGTATACAACGATGAATGCTTCTACACTACATGACTTCGCGTCCCTATTGCTTCACAAGTCGTGCGAAACATAAGTTGCTAAACATCACGGACGTGTTAAATATTTATGTAGAATTGTTCATGTTTTAGAGAGCGTTCCGTGTGTGTCGATGCATCTCTGTTATTGATTTTAGATGGGTTTATGGGTAGTACACTGTACAGAGTTCGTTTGTAAACAGGGTAGACGTTATGTGGCGACTGTCAGTTGGTCCAAACGTTGCGACTGTCAGTTGATCCAAGAGCGGCGTCTGTCAGCTAACCCAAGAGAGGCGACTGTCATTTGGTCCAAAAGTGGCGACTGTCAGTTGGTCCAAAAGTGACCTCTCTCAGTTGTCCAAGAGGGTGTCTGTCAGGTGGTCCAAAAGTTGCGGCTATCAGTTGGTCAAAGAGCGGCGTCTGTCAGCTGACCCAAAAGTTGCGGCTGCCAGTTGGTACAAGAGTGGCGACGGTCGGTTAGTCCAAGAGGGGCGTCTGTCAGTTGGTCCAAAAGTGACGACTGTCATTTGGTCAAAAAGTGACCTCTGTCGGTTGGTACAAGGTAGGCGATTGTCATTTGGTCCAAACGTGACGACTGTCAGTTGGCCCAAGACCAAACTGTGAAGTGCCATTATACGCTAGGAACTACAGCTGTATACTTATGAAACATTTACCGATTCATACTTGCATGAATATATTCTGTCTTTTTATACTGTATCTGAACCTGATGTATATTGTATCTACGAAGATATATCCTGATTTACACCGTAAAATATTCACGTCTTGGATCCTCAAGGCAACGCAACATAACATTGACATGGACGCTCCCTGCAGCCATTGTGCTTGTAATATCTGCAGTAGTGTTCTCATCCGTAACAACATATTGTTATTGCAGCCCTGCTTTGAGTGTTTTTTCCAATCTTCTTGGAGGATAACAGTTAAAAATAGGCCATTGTTACAATATGTACAACACACACTGTATTTTCTCGGAGAATCCTCTCGAAAATGTACTCTGGTGGAGTAATTAAGTATCTAGAGGGCTACCGAGTGTGGATGGAATATTTGATGTTGTCACTAAAGTGAGTGAGAGAGTGAGTGAGTGAGTGAGTTTAGTTTTGCGCTGCACTCAGCAATATGCCAGCTATATGGCGGCGGTCTGTAAATAATCGTGTCTGGGCCAGACAATCCAGGGATCAACAGCATGAACATCGATCTACGTAATTGGGATACGATGACATGTGTCAAGCCAGTCAGCGAGCCTGACCACCCGATCCCGTTAGTCGCCTCTTACGACAAGCATGGGTTAGTGAAGATCAATTCTAACCCGGATCTTCAAGGGGGTTGTCACTGAAGAGGATGAACAGTCGTGTATAGCCAAGACGTAACTGAAGGTGACGATATCGTAGTTTCTATGGGTCGGGGTACCAACTTCGTCTAATTATTCCACCGCTCATTTTAGTGATTAAAGCGTTCGCTCGTCATGCCGAAGACCCGGGTTCGATTCCCCACATGGGAACAAAGGCGGCGTAAAACTAATATCACTCACTCACCCAATTCAGCACCTGGATGATACACCACGTCGACTACTGATAAGGATATGGCTGAATATTGCCGATGTGACTTTAAATCTTAACTCACTCACTCACTCACTGATAACGTCCTCGACTCACCCACCAACCAATAAACCCATAACCGAATAAGTTCATTTACTCATGTTTTGCACAAACACAACTCGACGCCCGCCCGCTACCTTCATGATTAAACTCCACAGAATTCCACACGGACCGTCTGAAAACAGTACTCCATTCTTGAAATACCTTGTGATGTCACATGTTTGAATTATTCGTTGTTTTTGTGTATTTTTTGACAAAATGACAGTTGGTTGTCATTATTCATTAACACATTTTTGTGAGTCCATGTTTACATAATGTTCACTTGACAATGAAGGAACTACTGCATGTTTTGACAATGAAGCAGGTTGACCATGATACTGGAACACTACTCGGATCATGTGCGCACCTGTGTAAACATAGTACAGACAGTAAATCAGTTCAACAAACCATTATTACATTCTAATGTCTGTATCGTACTTAATGGAGAAAATGACCCGTGAAGATCCGGGGTAGACTAGGTCTTCAGCAACCCATGTGCTTGCCATAAAAAGGCGACTATCTTGTCGTAAGAGGCGACTAACGGGATC